CTCTTTCCCCCCAAGTCCCTCCAAGCCAATCCTTCCCCGTGGTTCTCTCAAAACACACAAGGCTCTTTCTAGCTTTTCTTCCATCCCTCTCCTGGGCCTTTCCCAACAGCAGGTGGCAGGAGTCTGAGGGCAGCTGCGGGGTGACTTGTGCAAATGTAAATCGCTGGCCTGTTTGAGTGAGAACTGGCCCCAGATTTCTGGTGAGCTGTTAAAAACAGGCCCGGTCGGGTCGAGGAGCAAACACCAGGTGCTCATGAGGTGAGGGCACAGGGTCCCACGTGTGGAGCCACCATGTCACTGGTGCTGTGTTCAATGCTGCCAGCTTTAATAAAAGGAAAAAAGGCTTTTAAAAGCCTTTTTTAGTTTATTTAAACCCTTAACTGGTTCTGAGAACGTGGGGCCACAGCCTCATTTCTTCTCACAACAAAACTGCAGCTAATGGTGCCTTAATTCCATGTGCTTTCAAGCTGAGTTTATTTTCTCCTAGACTTCTCCAGTTCCAATAATTTTGTGTAAAATGCTGGTTTCATGCTGAAGACCCACACTAAGAGAGATTTAGATGAGGTTCACATCAAAATACATGGTTGGCAGGGATTTTTATTTTTCTTTACCAGAAGGACGTGGAGTGGAACCATCTTGTCAAAACCTTGTTAAAAATGTCAGTGCACTGATACAGAAAATGTCTCAACTTTCTGCAGCAAGTCACCTAACCAGACTCTGTCACCCTCACAGTGAAGAAGTCTTTCCTCACATTGAGGTAGAACTTCCCATGTTCCAGTTTGCATCCATTGCCCCTCGTCCTGTCACAGGGCACCTCTGAAATGAGACCGGCCCCTCTTCTTGGCACCCTTCAGGTATTGGTGAACATTAACGAGCCTTGGTCTCAGTCTTATCCAGACTAACCAGCCCCAGGTCTCACCTAACCAGACTCTGTCACCCTCACAGTGAAGAAGTCTTTCCTCACATTGAGGTAGAACTTCCCATGTTCCAGTTTGCATCCATTGCCCCTCGTCCTGTCACAGGGCACCTCTGAAATGAGACCGGCCCCTCTTCTTGGCACCCTTCAGGTATTGGTGAACATTAACGAGACCTTGTCTCAGTCTTATCCAGACTAACCAGCCCCAGGTCTCCCAGAAAGATGCTCTAGTCCCTTGATCATCCCTGTGGCCTCCCTTGCCCTCCGTTCCATCCCTGTCCCTCAGGAACTGGGGGGCCCAGAACTGGATCCGATGCTCCAGGTCTGGCCCCACCAGAACCTTCCTCGAGCTGCTGGGTGAGGGGGGATTCAGGTTGGACGTGAGGAGGGAATTCTTTGGTGTGAGGGTGGTGAGAGCCTGGCCCAGGTTGCCCAGGGAAGCTGTGGCTGCCCCATCCCTGGGGGTGCTGAAGGGCAGGTTGGATGGGGCTTGGAGCAGCCTG